GGCAGGGTGACAAGGACAGATGTGTCAGTCACCTACCAGAATGTGGGGCCCTGAGTGTCTGGAGAACAGTGGAGCCATCAATACCCATAGGAAGCAGAGCAAGGAACCAGAGGTGTGAGTGCATGTGTGCACATGAACCTGTGTGTGTGTGTGTGTACTAAGTCACGCACATGTATGTGTACTATATGTACAGTCACTCATGATTGCTGTGCATAGTCTCTGCATGGAAGCATGTTGTTGTGCTATGTGCATGTGTGCACACTTTCCCGTACATGTATATGTATTCCATGTACTGAGTGCATGCTTGGGTGCCCTGTGTGTTCTGATGGCTGGGTGCGCATGTGGAGGTTCATGAAGGACTTCCTGCCTTGGAGTCCAGAACTCTCCCAAACCAGCCTCGGCCCCTACAGATGCACGTGTTGTTCCCTAGTTTGGCTGTATATGGAGAGAGGAGATGACAGCTGAGGTTAATTCAGTGGTAGCAGGGACAATGTTACCCAATCAGCATGGCTCCCTAGGGAGTGAACCACAAGTGAAGTCAACAGTGTGAGCTGAGGATGAGTCTATGGCTGGAGTCTGACCTGTGCTGCTCATGAGAGGGGGAACGCTACCTTTAAAAAAATGCAGGTAGCTTTGCATGTGCTGCTCATGAGAAGGGGAACTGTACCTTTAAAAAAAATGCAGGTAGCTTTGCCAGCCTGTGAGTCATGGGTCAAAGGAGTCCAGGGGTGTTCATGCTCTGGTTCCAGGGATGAGGAGGCACAGGGCAGCAGGCACGTGACTGAAAGGGACCTTTCCTGAATCTTCCTCTGAGCAGTGATGACTATGGCTGCCTCTGGAATTTGAGTGATGGTTTAAAAGGAAGACAAGTTTTCTTGGGAAAAAGATGTGGCCATTCCATCAGCTTTCACTTCAGACTCTAATCCACCCCCAATTCCAAGGGTGCTGAGGGTTCTGAGGCTGTTGGGTGGGGCAGGTCCCCTACCTGACCCAGGCTGACCGAGTGGCTGCCATGACCACCTTCCAGTATCTAACCATGGCTCTTTCCTCTCCTCGGTGTCTCCCTCTGCAGGGCTTTATTATCCGGAAGCAGAGGAATCTGTGACTCTTGACTGACCCAGGCTCCCCAGGGATCACCCGCCCACTGCCCCGTAGCCCTTTCTACTGAAAATTCAATTAGCAGAGCTTAGCTGAGTGTTCATCTCGCTATCAGGAAGATCAAGGGGCATTTAAGTCTCCCCTCAGTGGAGGCTGCACAAGGCAGGCAGCAACATTGGTGCTGAATCAAAACGGGACCCTTGTCTTCCCTCTCCCATGGTGGAAGGTGACTCTGAGCTAGAGGACACTGTGCCGATGAAATGGGGAGGGGACCTGGGATGTCCGTCAGGAGAGGATTGGTCAGGGAGAATGGGGGTGCAGGGCGATCACAGATACAGGTCCCACTCTGGGGCCACATGCAGAATGCTCAGTTGCCACCAGGCGGAGGCCACCCAGCTATTGATGTCTGAAGATGCTACATGCCTATTCTGCTTCAAGGCGCAAAACTTCGGAAACAATTATTTTATGAGCCAGGAAACAGATAGGTAGCTTTGCTCATTAAGATCGACAGCATTGAATACTAAACAGTTTTCTTTGTTTGTAGACAGGATCTTATGTAGCCCAAGCTGGCCTCAAATTCATTACTTAGTCAAGGATATCTTTGAAATCTGCGACTCTGCCTCCCAAGTGCTGGAGTGCACCACCACACCCAGTTTGTGTGTGTTGGAGATTGAACCTGGAGCTTTGTGCATTTGAGGCAAGCATCCTACCTACCAAACCACATCACCAGTCCCTAGGATGTCTTACTAGTGTTATCTATAGTTTTTAGTGTTCCGGTGTTTCTGTGTGGTCATCACACTTTCTAGAATAAGGACCTAGGATGAATCATGTCCATCTCAGTCTCTACAGGAAAAGTGCTTGGAATGTTCTTTTCCAATGGCTTGATTAGATGGGTGGCCTCAATTTTGTCCACATGTTCTTTCTCCTGCCCCCCCATTAAGAAATACACTCTTTGGTTCTCAAAACTTGTGAGAAGCCTAATTCTTATACTTGGCCCCAAGAATCAAATGTAATTTGTGAATTATTTCTAGACAAATGTTATTTTAAATCATGCTAAAAAACGATTAAGAGAACATTTTAAAAATTAGGAATTAAAACAAAAAATAAAAACAATAAAGACACAAGTTAGAAAGAAAAAACAAAAACAATTATTCAAACAGGTTGTACATCAGCCTAATGAATTCACATATACACACTTGAATACATACTTACATGCACACACACATACCACAAATGTACTACACACAAAAAACCCCACATGAACCACACATACACACACACACACACACACACACCAGGAATACACAGGTATACACATACACACACATTGGTGCTCACACACAGAGACATACACACAGGTTTACAGTTATGTTATACAGAGACACACCAGTATACACATACAAAAAAACACATACATGAAACACAGATGCATGCACACACACACATACACACACACACACACACAGAGGTACACATATACATATACACACTGGCGCACACACACAGGTGTACACACACCCACACAGAGAGACACACTGTTGCACACATACAAAAAACACATACATGAACCACAGGTACACTGCACACACACAGGTACACATGTACATACACACTTGTGTGCCCACGCAGAGATACACACACAGAGACACAGACACACACAGGTGCACACATAGACGAGCACCCACCTAACTAGAACTACTAATCTAGTTTGAACCCCAGGAGCTAGCTGTAGGACATATTGTATTTCCAAATCCCAGGAACGAACAATCAAAAGTGCACAGCAGCTTCAGCTCAACACTACAGAAGAGGCTTCTGTACTTAGGAATGAACTCGCTGAGAAGCTCCAGACTGGAAAAGACGGCGGCTGGCACTGCCCCAAGTAGCTGAAGCAGAAGAGGCTGTTCACTAGTAGGGTCAAAACGGTGGCTCCCAGCAGCGAGGATTCAAGGTTCTCTATCACAGACCCAGAGAAAACTGGAAAGGGTTACTAAAACACCTCACACATAGTTGTAAAGGGTCCAGAATCGACCCCCAGACAACCTGAAAACTAGCAAACAGAGCATGGTGCAGACTTTAACTTCCCAGTTCCAAACCTTGCTCTAAAGCCAGGGGCATGAATGCTAGCCTAAGCCGACACATGGGTAAACCGACACCAAGACAATTCTACAGTCAATCTTCAGCAAAGATTACCGGGGACAATCCAGTGGGAAAAGGAAAGGCCACACATAAAAAGGAAAAGGAGCAGGTGAGATGTCTCAGCTGATAAAATGTGGTCCCTGCCATGCCTGACAGCCTGAGTTCAATCCCCAGAACCCACATGAGAGAAGGAGAGAAATGGCTCCCGAACAAAAGTTGTCTTCTGATCTCTCCTGTGCGTCCCAGCATGCACGTGTGAACCCATACACAAATAAATAACTGTAAAATACTTTATACAAATAAAACAGTAATCTGCATACCGTAGATTAAAAAAACTTATCCCAATAATACTAAACACAAGAGAAAAAATGAAACTTTTAGAAGAAAGTTGTTATGAACCCATTAGTCAAAAACATCTTAGATATGATTCTGAGCTGTGACAAAGAGAAAAATGTACAAACTAAACTGCATTAATATTAAAACCTTTCGGTTTCAAATGCCACCAAGTGAAACAGGAAAGAAGGTATTGACTACAAGAGCACATTTTCAAACATGTCCGTGACAATGACAAAGGCAACCTAATTCTAAAGGGCAAGAAATTTAAATAGACATTTCTCCAAAGACCATCCAGAAACGGTTAATTATTCAAACACCCTCAATACGGTAACTGTGAGGGAATGAGAAATAGAACCCACAATGAGATGTGACCAAACAGATGGAAAGCAGCCAGGGGCAGGCTCTGAGGACTCAGGGAACCAGAGACCCCCACCAGGCATGTGCTTTAACAGTTTAATGTGAATTTACTGTATAATCCAGCAACTCTACTCTGGGATGTACATCTAAGGAAAATGAATGACTGTTTACACACACACACACACACACAGACAGAGAGAGAGAGACAGAGACAGACAGAGATAGAGAGAGGGAGAAGAAGGGAGGTAGAGGGACAGAGAGAGAAAGACAGATAAACAGAGACAGACAGACAGACAGACAGACAGAGGTTTGTAAATATTCACACACAGGTCACAGCAACTTTGTTTAGAATGGACAAAATGTAGAGCTGATCCAATGGCCTCTCGCCTCCCTCATGGGTAAACCAAGTGCAGTATGTCCATTCACAGCCCCGAAAGGGAATGAAGCACTAACATATGCAGCAACAGATGAAATAACGGAAATCCTCATCATCAGGGAAAGGAGCCAGACACAGAGATCACGGGCCCCAGGCAGGGCGAGTGTCACTCTATGAGAAATATCCAGAAAGTCTAACGCTCAGGCACAAAAAGCAAGCCTGATGCTTCTCCGGGCATTCTCAATGAGAATAGGTGCAGGGAAGGGGGAGGGACCCTCCCGAGGCATAGAAGTGCCCACCTGGTGTGAACAGGCAGAAACCTCTGGAGTAAATGTCTCCTTCTGCTTGAGAGAGGCAGCTCTGGGAACCATCCCTGGTGTTCTTCACCAGCTGGGGAGGAACTAAGCCATTTCCTCGCTCTGCCCTCCCGGTTGTGGCGTTACACACTCTGACTCAGGACAAACACTCACCAATGGCCTTAAAGCTTAAACCCTCTGTTTCCAAATAGCTCACCCCCAGGAGGCATCACAGGGGAAATATGCAGGGGTGAAGTGAGTGGCTAACCACCCAGTTCCTTCTGTCCCCCCTCTTCAGCTCTACACCATACGCAGCACCAAGGGCTCTGCGCAGAGGTCACTGTGATATCACCAGATCTCGCTGCTACCATGACAGTACCAGATGAAGAAGCAGAACTCACCGATTTTCTGATTGAAAATCTTGTCAAAGGTTATTTCGTTTCTTTCTGCAAGATACCTCTGCATCACGCTCCGGATGCTGTAAGATAAGAGTGGTTGTTAGGGCGCGGGTGGTCAGTGCCCTGCAGAGGCTCCGATGTGAGCACACTAGGGGCCCTGGGTGAGGAAGCTGAGGACACTCTGGAGGTGGGACCTGGCTGGAGGAAATGGGTTGCTGGGAGTAGTATCACATACTGCCTGACCTTAGGTTTTATTGTTTATGTTTGGTTTTGTTTGTTTGTTGACCCAGATGTGAGCAAGCAGCCTCAGACTCTAACAGCCACAGCTACAAGCCTTTCCTGCCGTCACGCCTTCCTGGCCATGGTAGACTAAACCGCTGTCTTAGTCAGGGTTACTATTGCTATGATGAAACACCATGACCAAAAGTGAGGATTTATTTGGCTTAGGCATTCATAACATAGCTGTGGTGGTTTGAATAAGAATGGACCCCACAGCCTCATAGTTGAATGAGTAGGGAGTAGCATTAGGAGGTGTGGCCTTGCTGAAGGAAATGTGTCACTGGGAGTGGGACTTTGAGGTTTAAGAACTCAAGCCAGGCCTAGTCTCTGTCTCTCTCTTTCTGTCTGCATGTATATGTCTCTCTGTCTCTCTCTGTCTCTCTCTCTGTCTCTCTCTGTCTCTCTCTGTCTCTCTCTCTGTCTCTCTCTGTCTCTCTCTGTCTCTGTCTCTGTCTCTCTCTGTCTCTCTCTGTCTCTCTCTGTCTCTCTCTCTCTCTGCTGCCTGAAGATACAAATGTAGAACTCTCTGTTCCTTCTCCAGTACCACATCTGCCTGCATGCCACCATGCTTCCTACCATGATGATAATGGACTAAACCTTTGAACCTGTAAGCCAGCCCAAATTCGATGTTTTTCTTTGTAAGTGTTGTGGTAGTCATGGTGTCTCTTCACAACAACAGAACTTTAAGCAGTTCATCACTGAAGGTAGTCGGGACAGGATCTCAAAGGTCAGGAACCTGGAGGCAGGAGCTTATGCAGAGGTCATGGAGGGGAGCTGCTTACTGGTTTGCTTCCAATGACTTGCTCAGTCTGCTTTCTTATAGAACCCAGGACCACCACCCCAGGGATGGCCCCTCCCACAATGGGCTGGGCCCTCCTCTATCAATCACTAATTAAGAAAATGCCCTACAACATTTTCTCAGTGGAGTTTCCCCTCCTAACTTGTGTCAAGTTTACATAAAACTGGCCAGCACAACCTTCAAACTATAAAGCAACATAAGCCCTTCCCCTTTCTTGCTGTGCATTTAGTCATGGAGACCCAAAAGCAGAGAACTACTGCTGGGGATGGAGGGCATGGCTGTAACCAGCTGACCATGCATCTCTCAGGCCTGATGAGCCAGTTTGCAGAGGATTTGGAAGAGTTTGGATCTAGGTACCAGAGGAACCCTTAAATGCTATTAGCAGAACTTAGTGGGCCATTCCAGGAGATGTTCAGAAGACCAGGATGTCCAAAACACCCAGGCAGTGGGGGCCACACCCAGCAGGTCCAAGGGGACAAGAGCTTCCTTGAGGGCCAGGCTAGCAACCATTCACATTACATTCTGGCAAAGAGTGTGACCGCCTTCTTCCTGTGTGCCCCAAACTAGAGTGAGGCTGAACTAAAACGGGGTGAGGAGAAGAGGCTGCCTCAGGGTAGCATGGTATTCAGGCTGGGGGGGTGGCTATTGCTTCAGCTTCTTCCGCTCAGTGGCAGAGAGCAGAAAGATGAACGTGTGAGAGACAAGCAGTTCATCAAGGACCTGGCAGGAATGTGAGTAAAGTTGAGGTTAAAGTCACTCAGGGGATGCTGAAAGTCAGGGCCTTATAACTGATAATGGAGAACCTCCAGACTCAGAGCTGGGACAGTAGAGAGGACCTTGCTTACCAGAAGCCCAGGGTGTTGCAACACAAGGGTCACAGCTGAGCAAAGAACATCACCCCCACTCCCACCCCTAGGCATCCAAGGAGAGTGCTTTCTCATTTCCAGCCACAGAGGGCAGCTGTGGTCCACAGGGATGGGGGGATGAGGGAGGATGAGGATGGGGTGAGGTGGGTGGGGAAGGAGCAGGGGGGGCAGCAGGCTACATCTCAGCTGGAGCTGAATGCATGGGCATCCACGTGGTGCTGGTTTTGCAAGAGCAAGAAAGCTACTGAACCCTGGCCTGTGTGTAGCAGGGTCGCAGTCGCTGCAAGGAACTTGTGAGAAAGTAAAGCCTAAGATGCAATGGGAAACTCAGGATACTGGGAGATCCCAGAGATAGGAGATACCTGACAAAGCTCCAGGCACCCGGTAGATCAGGCCCAAGAGCGTGGTCAAAGATGCCACAGGCAACAGAGTTGAGGGTGTGGATGGCCGAGTCTGTTGGAGCCCAAATGATGTCCCCAAGAGCCCTAATCCTGGACCTGGGGGCTATGGAATCCAGGGTCTGCTCTGCTGGTTAGGCTCTGCTTTGTTTGGTCTTTCCTGTGTCTAGTGTCTCTGTCAATTCTAGAGTTTATATATTATCCTTCTGTGGTCTTTGATGGAGTTGAAGACACATAGTTACATATAAAAGTTTAGACTCACAATGATAGGATAGATGATTGGATATTTTCTATAAATTTTGTCAAATGTTAATGGACTAAATACTGTTGACTGTAGTTCTTGCTTGATAGCTGTTTTGTTATATATAATTTGACTATGGTTTTTTTTTTTTTGGTTTTTATGAGACAGGGTTTCTCTGTATTGTTTTCAAGGCTGTCGGTCCAGCCCAGCCTTGAACTCACAGCAATCCGCCTGCCTCTGCCTCCCGAGTGCTGGGATTAAAGGCGTGTGCCACCACCGCCCGGCTAATTTGACTATGTTAAAGTTAAAACCTTTCCTCTTATTTAGACAGGAAAGAGGAGATGATGGGGGATGTTCTTCTGTATATATGTTTCTCTTATTGGTTGATTAATAAAACACTGTTTGACCAATAGAGGCAGGAAGATAGGCAGGAGTGGGAGATGAGGAGAATTCTGGGGAGAGAGGTAGAGAGGCCAAGAAGAGACATCATTCTTCCGAAGGAGTAACATGCCGGATAAATCACAGCCTCATGGCCATCAGCCAACAGTTTTATAAGTAATATAGATAGCATCTGTGCAAACACAGACTAAAGTGACAAGAAACTCCAGCATCATCTCACCCCTCTCCCTTTGGGAATGGGAGTATTTACTCTACGCATGCATGCTGGAAGTGAGGAACATATTTGTAAAGTTGCTTACACTGCAGTTAAGAGTTTGCCTTCAACCCCAGAAGAGGCTTTTGACTTTTAAGAATTTTTTGAGGCAGGGTCCTAGAACTCTCTGGGTACCTCAGGCTGGCCTTGAACTCACAGAGATCCACCTGTCTCTCCCTCCCAAGTGCTGGGATTAAAGGTGTGTGCCGCCCAGACCCAACTGAGACTTTGGACATTAGGAAACAGTGAGGGCACAAGAAGGCCTCTGACATGAGACTAGACACAGCTGCACCACAGGTGACTGCGAGCCTGTGGGCTCCCAGGAAGAAAACTGTGCTTTGGTGTAAAATGTGCCCCACAGGATCGCATCTTCGGACTCTTGGTTGCAGCTGGCAGTGCAGGTTGGGAGCTGTGTGGGTCCTTTAGGACATGGGGCACAGCCGGAGGAAGTGTGCCATTAGAGTATGGGTCATGAGGTTCATGGTCAGAACCCACTTCCTGTATCTCTACTTCCTGATCCATTCAGATGTAAGCAAGCAACTTCGTGCTCCTGCAGCCACACATAGCTCAGGCCGCCATGCTGTCCCCACCACGGTAGACTGCACTCTCAAACAGGGTGATGAAGTAATCCCTTCCTCCCTTCTGCTGGCTCTGTCAGGCATTTGGTGACAGCAACAGGAAGAATATCAGTACAGTGGCATATTTTAAAGACTACATTAAAAGTATAGCGTGAACAACCCTGATCCACAGGGGGAGGGGGGGATAGTCACTGTCACTCAAGATTATCAGTTATATGACAGATTCCTTCCACTGCTATCCAGGACTGCAGGAATGGTCCAGGGACTGACAGCAGCCAAGACTCCAGCCACCACCCTCCCCCAGGACCAGGAGCCAACTCTGTATATGAAGAATCCAACTCAGAAGATGCCAAAACTTTACCCTCAGTACTGCCTCTCTCTAAAGTATGCATGAGTATGTAAATAGGCACATACACACCACATACATACTCCCCACAGTCCCATTCATGCATACGTGTACTCTTCACACAGCCCCATGCATGCACATATGCCCCACACACAGCTCCAGGCACACACACACATACTCTGCACACAGTCCCATGCAGGTTCACATCCCCTGCACACAGCTCAAAGCATGCACACATACCCCCACACGTAGCCCCATGCATGCACATACATATTCCTCACACAGCCCCATGCATACACATATACTCCCCCACAGCCCCAGATATTCACACACATACTCAACACGCAGTCCCATGCAGGCACACATCCCTTGCACAAGCCCCAGATAGGCACATAAATGCCACATGTACACTGAACACACAGCCCTAATCTACATGCACACATACCATGTGTGTACTCCCACACAGCCCCAGGCATGCACACACAGAAATCCTGCTATCAATCTCTTCTTTAAACAAAAGAAAAAGAGCATCCCACCCCCCCACCCCCGGGTACCAGGTCAGTGTTTTGAAATCATTTCCATACATCGCCAGTTTTTAAAGTGATTAAAAGGGAAGAATCTACTTACAATAAAATAAAAACCTGAAATGCCTTGAAATTAAAATCCTCCAAAATACACACAAGATATTTATGGGTAAAATTATGAATCACATGGCGAGAGAAGGAGTGGGGATATGTACCATGGTTATGAACACAAAGAATGAACATTAAGAACATTCAGAGATCTGCCAGATTTCATTATAAAGCTGATCTGAGTCCATCAGGACCCCGAGGGGACTTTAACAGGATGCAGAAGCAAGAAACAATTTATATAAAACAACACAGAATCTAGGGCAGCCAGTACATCTCTGAAGGAGGAGAA